GATATCTAAAAATTCATTAAGATATATGCTTTTTCTTATCAACTCTAATGAATACCCATAACATGTACATCATCAAATTAGAGCACTAAAAATATCAAGCAATCATTAATCTGTTTTCTCTTATTTTAGTATGTAATATATTTTCCACCACTTTCTAAAACATGTGTGTATATGTCTGTGTGTATATGTATGTGCATGTGTGCATCTGATTGAATGTAGTCTATAGCTACTCTGAAGAGCAAGCAAATGTTTTTCTTTGGGGGTATTTTCTGTTATTCTGCTTTGTGAAAGTGTTTTTATTCACAGAGCATTAGCAGTTGACTCTTTCAATAAAAGGCTACTTACCCTCTATGGCAATATGTACTTTAGCTTGCCCTTTGCACACAGCTGAGTCACAAAGTTCAGGAAGAAAAGAGCTTTGTTTATTCAGCAAACCAAAGATTATCAGTATCATTAAGGAACATATGAGATAAGAAAAATTTTGATCTATTACTTCCAGGCTTCTGTACAATGATAGGATTTATCTGGCTAAAAAATAAGAGGAGCGGGGGTGGGGGGGATTCAGCTATTCTACTAGAACAAGAACTTTAAAATTAAAATGACACATTTTCCTTAAAAGAATGATTTTTCTCATTTATCTTAATAAACAAGGTCAATCTCACAGCGGAATTTGAGATCATTGATAAAGAGCCAAGAATAAGATTTGGCCTACTTGTATGATGAAACAGAAAGGTTTTCTATGGTTTCCATGATTTCAACTATCTTCATGTTTTCAAAATTTACACTCAATCAGAAAATAAATTCTAAAGAAAATAAAGGTATGTTATAAGTAGTGTAGAATTCTCACCTTGAAAAAATATAAATTATTACATGCAATATATAATTCACAGCCAGGAAGATATCTTTTATATAGCTCTTTTCTTTCTAAACTTTGTGACTCAACTGTGTGCAAAGGACAAACTAAAGTATATATTGCCATAGAGGGTAAGTAGCCTTTTACTGAAAGAGTCAACTGCTAATGCTCTGTGAATCAAAACACTTTCCACAAAGCAGAATAACAGAAAGAATCCCCAAAAGAGAGAAAAACATTTGCTTCTCTTCAGAGTAGCTATAAACTCTACACAACCATACACACAAACACACACACACACACACACACACACACACACACATTTTAGAAAGTGGTAAAAAAAAAGACATTACATACTAAAATAGGAGAAAACAGATTGATGACTAAGTCTGATATTTTTAGTACTATAATTTGATGACATATATGTTATAGGCATCTTATGCCTAAGGTTCAGCTAATCTTGTTAGTTGTAACTCAAGGAGGGAAAAATTCTGGAACTGCATTTTCTCTGCTCCAAATATTTGGTGTCTTATACTGCCTAATTCAAACAACACAAAGCCCAGTGTTGACTAAAAATAATGTGGAAAAAATACATTAAAGAAAAACCAGATTTCATTAGAATTAGAACTTTCATTCATACAATAAAAGATAAAGGGGAAATCTGGAATCAAGGACAGAAAATAATGGCTATTGTGCACAAGTATGTTATTTTAACCATGTTTAATTTTATACACTTTTAGTTCATAATCAAGCACTCGTGTTTTGGTGAATGAGGTAGATTATGGACACATAATATATAATATAATCCTCTTTTGGGGATTCTTTCTGTTAATCCTGCTTTGTGAAACGTGCTTTGATTCACAGAGCATTGGCAGTTGACTCTCAGTAAAAGGTTGTTTACCCTCTATGGTAATATGTACTTTAGTTTGTCCTTTGTGCACAGTTGAGTTACAAAATGCAGAAAGGAGCAGGATACAGAAGAGGGAGAGAAATGGGAAAGAGCAGAGAAAGAGGAAGCAGAGGAGGATGCACATCTAGAGTATGTGCAAGTGAAACAGCTTTCCTTCAGCTTCCAAAAATATCCAACTAGCTATTTTCCCCATGAATTTAGATCTAAAATTCTTGTAACAGCTTAAGACAATAAATACATGTACTTGATTCTAGGGTCATGTACTGCTGTCTTTTTTTCTTAAGACAAATTCACTACAATGTTGAAAGATGTGGGATGATAAGAGATTGGGAATTTTATAAAGGGATCTCTAAGAAACAGACACATCGGATGACCTATCTCTGTCATAGTAAGATGTACAACCCTTCACAAAGTTACCTACCATGCACTGAGAACCAGATTTCCTATTATTGTAGTGAAAATGTTGATCAAAATGAAGTATTACAATAATCTTTTCCCAAGAATCTTCTTCAATAAATATAGGGTAAAAACATAACTATAGGTAAGTCACCATTTTTTTAAACTCTCAGTTAACAAAGTATACCAATATACTTTTATTTTTTGGCACCACAAAAAATGTCAAGGTTTTTGTTTAAGTTAGTTCAGTGGTATATTGACAATGATATAGGTAAGTATTCAAGCATTTTCCTCCTTCCAATATGAGTTATATGACTTTTCAACTATGGGTAATGGTCCCTAATGGTCCCCAAATGGACCCTAGATGTTCTCCCAATTTTGACTGTCATATGTGGATATAAAAATTATTCAACCAAGAAAGTCTTTAATCTCTGTAGCCTGCCATTTATTACATGAGAAGAAAATTCAAGTCTCTTGTCAGTCTCTTCACATTCCATTGAGAAGGTCCCAGTCATATGCTTTTGAATATAATCTTGGTTGACATGAGAAATGGTTAAAGAAGTTTGCTCCATTTCTTATAAATGAAGAGCCACTCTCCAATAACACTCTCAGGGGACCTGAGAGATTCATCAATGGTTAAGGGCGCTTACTGCTCTTGCAGACGACTGGAGATCAGTTCCCAGCATCCATATCAAGCAGTTTATAACAGCTTATAACTCCAGCTTCAGGGTATCTGATTCCCCGTCTTGGCCTCTGAGGGCACCTATACTCATTCACATACCTACACACAGACACATACAGACATGCACATAAATAAATATGATAATAAATCTTTTTTAAGAGAGGTGTCAGCTGGTATAGAAAACATAATAAGAATAGAAGACTCAATTATAAACAGAATTTATAACAAAAGTATCCTTATTAAAGAAAATAATTTCATGTATGTGTAAGCTTAGGAACTCTAAATAGTTGCCAAGGTGCTATGCCTTCGTAAGTTTGGTTGCCATGATCTAAGAATATAAACCCGGCCCTAACTTAGAAACTATTGGCAAAGAATGACTTCTGGGAAGGGGAGAGTCATTTTCCTTTTAAGTGTGAGATTCTTGGTAGGTTTATCAGGCTTCAGTGGATTAACCTACACTGAAGGGCATTTGGGAACACAAACCTAACTATATAGGCAT